ATATATATTATTAATATTATAATTACAGGTATTTGTAATATTAAAAATAAATGATAAATATAATATTATTTTATTTGAAAAGTTTTAGTTAAGTTTTAAAATTAATATTTGATAGCAGTGTTCCTAAATATAGTGATCATTGACTATGTGTTTAGGAAGCATTACATTAACAACTGTTCCATAGAAATAGGATTTTTGATAATATATTTGGATATATCTATAGTTTGAGATAAATATTTTTATCACATTGTTTGCCACAAATTATAACCATTTCCTGCTGTGCCTTATATTTCATGTCTGATATTATGTGTACTTCTCGGCTCTTCAGTTCACTCCATATAAGTTTGTATTTTATTTAATCTAAATATTTTTTCCGTGAATTCGAAAGCACAGTAACCTCTGCTTTCATGTGATGTCATAATGCTATACTGACATATTAAAGCAAAGTTTAATGTACCCTCCCTATTCTTTCTCCTTATATAAATTATGATATTTGTCGTTAAAGTGTCAGATAATAGTAATAATATTCTAAGTGTTTATGAACCAACATCAAACAATACTTTTATCAGTTAATTACATTTGTAATTACTATACGGAAATAGTAGCAAAACCAATAGAATGCAAATTTAAATATTTAAAATTTTCATGTAGTTTAGTAGTCCAACAACTACAAATTTAAAAAAGAGTTTGAACATACAGTATAAAATATATAAAGTAAAACATTAGAACAAGCTATTCAAATAATAGAATATTTGTCTATGAACGTTTGGTTATAAAGGGTTGATCTTGCAATAGTATAGTAAATTGTATTCAACATATATAGTGATTTGCATTTTGTTACAGTTTAATTTCCAACAATAAATATTTATTTGGTAATTAATAAATAAGTTTAAAATATATTAAATGCTTTTACTTATTAATAACTGAAAGGGAATTATAATTAGTTAAAAGAAGATAATTATTTCATTGAATTATAGACTAAAACAAGTTTAATTGAACCAATCAATATAAACTACAATAAATAGATTTAAATAAATGTTTTAACTATACTAAAGTTCTTAAATATTCTAAAAAAATTAAAGTCAATAAATATTTATTAAATATAGTAAATAGATATTTAAACTATTATTTAACTAAGTTTTATAATTTATAAACCATATTATGATATCATTTAGCCCATTATGCAATGATATTCTATTCTAAATTAGATCCGCCCTTTTTGCGCCAAACATATTATGTTAAGATCATATAAGACATACATTTCAACTATGCTTTACATTAATATTATAGTATTACAGAAATACTTGTGATTTGTTTTGGCAAAGATATGCATATTCAAAATATTATTATAAATATTAATTATATTATATAATAAACGAACATTTATAGGCTATAACAGTGGCAATAACATTGAAATAATCAAATAGTCTCAAATATACATTATTATTTGAAACTTGAGTAACACATGTATAGCATCTCATCTTATATACAAAATATAGAGTATATAATACAATACTTCAAATCAACATTTGTGTGGCTATAAATCCAATTATATATTTCAACTCTTTTTTAAACATTTTAATGCATTTTTAACAAAAATGTAATAATTAAAGCAAATTTGAAATTAATCATTGGATTTGTATAGCTTCATATTTCTATTTGTTCATTTTCATTTTAATAACAAAATAAAAATAACTTATATTATTGATGGTTCAATATCACAAGTATATAGAATAAATATTACACAATCATTGTTTTAAAACTTTTAACTTATAAAGGGGTGAGATTAACTTTCTATTAATTTGGATGAATATCACATTAATTGTTATTTTATTTAATTAATATCTGTAGTTGTGTTTAGTTTAGAAGTTTGAATCATATGTTTTCCCCTTAAAAAGCACTTCACTGCTGAGCAATAGTGATCTATTATGAGTAAAAGGGTAATAACAGACAGAAAGGCATTCATCAAATCAAACGAATACAACACATGAATGTTACAATTAACTGTATGTTAGGTATCATATTCTTTTGAATAACATGCATGTATTTTAAGAAAATAATATAATGATTGTGTACACCATGAATGTCTACTGAAAACTGTGGTGTCATCTCTCTGTCATACTATATGCAATGCCAAGAATTTGAGTTTTTTGATCCCTTTCTTTGCGATCGATAATAGGTTTCAGTGTTTGTACTAAAGATAACGCAACGGATGTCTACTTTCATGAATACTGTAAATATATTTATTAAAATGAGCTATTTTATAATCAATGAACAAATCTTAATAATCAAGGTAATCTGTTAGTTAGTTAATCTTCTTTATAAATATATACTAATTATGTATACCGGTATTTAATGTGTATTGTAGTATGCTTGTTATATATTAGAAGCATTTATGTAGTAAAAATATTCAACTCTGCTTTTATATAACTGATCAGTATAGATTCACAGAATTACATTCATAAGCAAGTATATTTCAACTAAAGATTTTATTTTAATCATTAAATTTAATGTCTCTCATATTTATATGTATCGATATAATAGATTATTAATTGTTTTTACTGTGTGTATCATAATAGTATAATATGTTTTACAAGTGTTTGTTTAAATTAAGGTTAAAATTTTAGCTTATGTTTAATATAAATTAGAATTAGAAGATTATAACATTAAATGCTCGATCAAAACCAATTTAATTATTATAATGTATTGTATATTATATAATTATATAATATATTTCTCTCATAGTAAACACAAGCCTATATTGATAACTATAATGTTTGTGTGAATGCATATTAGAGTGCAATAATCCAATGGTTCATCCATTAGCACGTCCTCAGGATGTGTTCCCTTTCTCTGCCTCCATCTCCTGTAAGTTATTATACTGTAAACGTTTATACTGAAAGTACTATTATATTACCACCTACCTTTTAATAGTAAGATATCATTTTTAAAATGTTCAAAACCAAAGTCATTACAATAAGCCTATTCTATGTTAACTCGTCATTTGGTTCACATTATCTCAAAAATTGAATCGTTATAAATATTGTTAAGATTTAAACATTAATTTTCAAATAGAATAAACTTAATTATAATTTTATCACTTTACGTATTGTTGTTATTTTCTCAGTTATAGATAATAAAATCAAAAAGAATAAACAACACAAATAATTGCTCAATTTCTATGGATTTAAATATACTGTATCTTTAATTTTTATATGGTAATTCATTTCAATCAATAATAAAAATTTAAAGGAAATAGGGAAAAATTATTTTTAAAAATTGCATTCAATTTTTTTAAGTTGCCTTTATGGTTACTAAATACAGTTTTTTTGGTATGTATAAATAATTTAGTAATTAATACTTTAAATTATTTACAATAACATAGATTAATTTATTATTGTTTCTATATATAATATTATATTACGGAAAAATACAATATTTTTATACCTATACTACTGTATTTTTAATGAAGTTTAAATCTAAGTTTATAAGTTATAAATTATAACTATTGTATTTTTAACTATTTGTAGCATTTAAGACTTTATAACTTAGAATAATATTATATTATCAATTATTATTATACACATTAAAAATAATTTTATTTATTTCATTAATTCGTATATTGCATGATATTACATTAATAATGTGTGTGTGTGTGTGTGAGGGAGGGAGGGAGAGACTAAGTAATGAGGTGAAAAGTTATATAGTATATGGTTAATACCGGCGGCTATTGAACCAGTTATTTGAAAGATGAAAATAAACATTAAATTCATTAATTGAACTTATATTTCAATATTACAAACACATTTAAATTTTAATGAATTAATTTATTAATAATATTAAATAAAAGTATTGATTTGCTGTTCACTGTCTACTGTTTATTAAATACAACACTTAAGTAAAAATTTATTTGTTTAAATTAAAGTATTATTATTTACATTTAAAAAAATATTGCTAAGGATTATTTTAATGTGCTTAAAAATAAACCTACTATTGTACTTTATATAATCTTATTCTTATTGTAAGTATTATTTTATAAAATGTCAATAATTATATATAAATAATCATGGATCTTTTTTTAAATAATATTCTAAAACTAGGTATAGCTAAATTGTGCTAAATTTGTAATATTAAAATATTTTGTTGTAAGATTTAAAATCATTTTATTATAAAGTAATTTATATTGTTTAATACTGAAAATAACTATTTTATAAAGAACTCGAAATATTGTACCGGTATATATAAAATATTATAATGGGTAATAATATTGCTCTAGTAAATCTTACAACAAACATAATTTTTTAATGTTAACTTTAATTTGCTGTAATGGGTTAACCTTATAAACAAAGATTGTTTTGATGATTGTTTATGTTTTAATGAATAATGGTATGTACATTATAATTATTTAATGAATAGCAGTCAGGTTTTAGTAATGTTAACTTTAATTTGCTGTAATGGGTTAACCTTATAAACAAAGATTGTTTTGATGATTCTTTATGTTTTAATGAATAATGGTATGTACATTATAATTATTTAATGAATAGCAGTCAGGTTTTAGTATATCAATTATTAAAATTTTCAATTCTATGATATTATCAGAATAGAGTACCATCTTAATTTTAAAATTGATTTACTAAGAGAATTTGGTAATGAGTTAAATAGATTATCGATTTTCAATCCAATCAAATATAATTTATTCAAAAAATTAATTTTTCTTATAATTATTGAATTTTATTTTTCTAAACCTTATATTACAGTATATTATTAATGTTCTAAATATTATTTGATTTCGCAATTCATTTATACTTGAATTTTCCTTTTACTATATTTTAGAAAAACTAAAAATACAAACTTGAAAAAAGTCTCAAATATTTAAGCAAAAAAGTATTGAATACAAAAACAACATTAATTTATTATAATATTTTGGATTAGTTACAGATTTCTTAAGCATAGGTTCTTTATTATATGTATTAGTGTTGCAGTGAATTGTAAGACAAGGAATGGCAGCAATCGGTGCGACAACACTCTTCCTATCGGTCGCTCTGTTTATTTTGCAAAACTATGTGAACCACAGGTCTATAGAGACCAAGGATGAGGACCTGAGGGATGTGTACGACTTCATAGTGGTCGGGTCCGGAGCGGCCGGCTCTATAGTGTCGAGCAGATTGGCTGAGAACCCACACGTCAATGTACTGCTTCTGGAGGCTGGAGGTCCAGCCGGTGGTAACACCGATATTCCCGGTGCTTATTGGCATTTCTTTAACTCACCCATTGATTGGAACTACACTCAAGAGGAGCAGTTTGTTGGGAAGGCATACATTCACCGACGGATTCCTGAATCTAAAGGAATGCTAATCGGCGGCAGCTCTTCAATCAATACAATGATTTACAACAGAGGAAACCGAAGGGTTTACGACGATTGGGCCAAACTGTTTGGGGCCGAGGGATGGACTTATGAGGAAGTTATGCCTTATTTCTTGAGGTTTGAGAATCAAACGGATCCATTGTTGGCCAGTAATGGATTTCATTCGACTACCGGTCCAATGCAAGTGACGTCTTGGGCCACTCCACCGCCTATTATGCTATTACATCAAAAGGCTGTCAATGAATTGGGGTTTAAGAATGTGGACATCAATGGCGCGGAACAGTTCGGCACAATGATGGCACAGGCATTCATTGATGTGAATGGTGTGCGAACCAGTGCTTCCAACAGCTACATAGACCCCAACCCATACCCCCATAACTTGCATATTCTTCCCAATTCTTTTGTCACAAAAGTCATATTTGAGGGCAAGAGGGCGGTGGGGGTTGAGTTTGTCAGACACGGAGTCATTCGCACGGCATTTGCCAAAAGGGAAGTCATTCTCAGTTGTGGTAATGTCTTGATATTTATTTTTAATACATTAAAAACTATTAACTCATTAGAAATTGGTTTTCAGGCGCTGTTAGATCACCGCATACTTTGATGCTCTCAGGAGTTGGTCCTAAAGAACAGCTCCAAAAGTTTGGAATACCTGTAGTGGCGGACCTGCCTGTGGGCGAGAACTACCAGAACCATCCCGGGGTTTCTCTCAACTTTCTAATCAATGAGAAATATAAATATCTGGTGGGAGAGGGCTACTGGGGGGTTACGATAGCCAACTTGAATGAGTGGTTCACTCATAAGAAGGGTATTCTTACTCAACACTACAGAGCACTGACCTACCTGTACACCAAGAACAACCCGGATGGACCCCACTTTCCCAACTCAATCTTCGAGACAGGAATCTATATGTTTCCACAGAATTTGACGGAAAATATTCTTCGATACGAGCGACAGCACGAATGGGATCAGTTCAACACCCAGCTCTTGGGGAAGGACTACCTCTTTGTGCACACAATTCTGCATCGCGTCAGAAGTCGTGGTTATATTCGTCTCGTGTCTAACAATCCGTTTGTTTATCCGGCAATAAATCCCAGACTTTTAACTCATCCCAAAGATTTGGAAGACTTACACGAGTCAATGAAATACATGTATTTCGTATTCGAGACCTCATCCATAGCTAAATATTTGGCTCCCATGACACCCATACCTGGCTGCCAGTTCTGTGCCAAGGGTTATGTCTATGAATGCGATCCATACATCAGTTGTGTCATCGAACAGATCACAGATTCTGGTTTCCATTCTTCCAGCTCTTGTCGCATGGGTTCCGTCCATAGGGATGATGTGGTGGTCGACCCCAGACTTCGGGTCAAAGGTATCGAGAGTTTACGTGTTTGCGACGCCTCTATAATGCCTGTCGTCTCAAATGGCAACACATATTCACCAACTCTTATGATCGGCGAAAAGTGCGCTCAAATGGTCAGAGAAGACAATCACGTCTAACACCTTCTCTTTGCTCTTATATTTAAATTATTTTAAATATTTGATTGATTTGTGTATTATAATTGTTAATCAAAAAGTAATAAAATTTAATGTAAATTAATAGTAAAATATTATTCATATGTTTAAAAATAAAGTGTCATTTATTTGAAAAAGTTAATGTTTTTAATTTATTATAAATTAGTTTTTTCATTAAAAAACAGTATAATAATAAAATACTTAAGGATTTCTTTGAAAACCAACTTTTGTTGAAAGAGATTCCAAATAAAGTTTTATTTGATTTGATTTGATTTACTTTCAACGGTAATATACATTTTACTTTATTTTTTAATACACTTAGATATATTAGAAATATCAGATAATATAACCCATTATATTTTTATATCGTTTATAATTTACAGCTTAAGGGATTTGTGCAAAAATGAAATTTTGTCATAATTTACAGAATAATAAAAACTAATTATTAAGTGATATATACAGTATATATTTGAATTACATCTACTATAACTTACGGGAATTGGTAATTGTTATTAACAAATTATTAATATTTGCATATTAAATGACTACAATAACTGTAATTTAAATATAGATTCACAATGTATTAGACCTAATACTATCTGTGCTTGTTCAATTATATCCTAGTTCACATACATAAATTTATTTTTTTATGAGATAATGACATTAATTGGACAATAGAAAACTTTATTGCCTATAAATATCTATTTCTATAAAATTAGCAATAGATTGTTAAAATTAAAAACTAAACTCTGTTAATAAAAGTTTACATCCAAAAGTATTACAATTGTTGAACTTTTGTTTAAATCAAAACAATGCACTTAAGAAAAATGTTGTGAAAGTAAGACACTTTACATTAAACTTGAAATAGAATTACCTTTATTATTGATTAATTAAATTGTAATAAAAGTAAGATTTTAAAAATTCTTTGATTAGATATTGTATTGTATTGTAGATCGCAGAGTACACATAGAATAAACAATACGTCAGTCAAGAGTTTGAGGGCTTTGTGCAAAAAATGTCAAATATATCACTCTATATAAGAAAACTTTCCTTAATATAGTACTAGTCTATGAATTTTGTTTAATAAGTAAATTTATATAATTAAAAACTATATTCTAGTATTTAATTTGTCTTTAATTATATTATTGTTACTAGTATTAAAGTTTATTAATATTTCATGAATATGAGTATCAATGGTTTAACAGCCCATTCCGATATACANAATAAGTAAATTTATATAATTAAAAACTATATTCTAGTATTTAATTTGTCTTTAATTATATTATTGTTACTAGTATTAAAGTTTATTAATATTTCATGAATATGAGTATCAATGGTTTAACAGCCCATTCCGATATACAAATAGACATTACAAAAACTTGTTATACTAATACAGAATGTGTACTTGATAGTAGTGTAAATAAAAATTTGGATGCAAATTATAGTAGTAGTAATAATAATATTGATGAAATTGATTGGCAAAGTCATTGCCATCAAAACTCAATAGACAAAAGTGGCCAAAATGCTGTGAAAAGAGCTTTTTATCAGTTGATTACAAGTTGTATATTATGTCTGGTATTCATGTTAGCAGAAGTGATTGGAGGGGCTTTGGCTAATAGTCTGGCTATTATGACGGGTAAGCTTTTAATACGAATGCAATCAAATATTATGTGGTATAATACACTGATGCACTGACTGATTACCCTGGTGACAATGATGACTAGATGCGGCACATATGTTGAGTGATTTGGCGAGCTTTCTATTGGGACTGTTGGCCCTATGGCTCAGTCAGCGACGGCCAACACAACGCATGTCTTTTGGCTACTATAGGGCCGAAGTGTTGGCCTCATTGGCCTCAATGATCATCATTTGGATTCTGACCGCAATTCTCGTCTATTTGGCTGTCATTCGCATTATTGAAGAGGACTATGAAATCAATTCATTGCCAATGCTTATAGTGTCGGGCATTGGAGTGACTATGAATCTAGTAATGGGTTTAACACTTTCCGATGCATTTTGTGTCAAGAAGTCAAAGCAAAACAAATCACCACAAGTCGGACACCAACATCACAGTCACAGCCACTCCTCACACGGCCACTCGCACTCCAATATGAATGTCAGGTTATCTATCATTTTCTTATTATTTTATCAAATCATATAATCATTAATTAAATTAATTAAGTATTTATTTTTGCATTTAATGTAATTTTAGAGCAGCTTTTGTTCATGTATTGGGAGACCTAATCCAAAGTGTGGGCGTATTAATAGCTGCTTTAATCATATATTTTAAGCCTGAATATAAGATTGCGGACCCCATTTGTACGTTTATATTCAGTGTATTAGTGCTGATCACAACATTCAATGTATTGAAGGACTCATTCTTTGTACTGATGGAGAGTTTTCCCTTAAATATTGACTACAATTCTGTCAAAGAATCCCTCAAACAAATAGAAAGTGTGAGAAATGTCCACAGTTTACACATTTGGTCGCTTACACTGGACAGGAATGCCTTATCAGTACATTTGGCCATTGATTATAACGGTGATTCTGATAAGACCTTGAAATTGGCACAAACATTTATTAGAGATAAGTATCACATAAACGAAATCAATATTCAAGTCGAAAGATTTAATGCAAAAACAATGGAGAAGTGTATTACTTGTAAAGGATTTTAAAATTACTCTCATTATAATAAAGTTTAACTTTAACTTATATAATTTATATTGATTCTTATTAAATAATACCGGTAACAATTTTATATATTACCGTACAAATGTAGTATACTAGTACTAAGTTACTAGACTAGTAAAATTAATGTGTTGATTGAGAGAAAGTGATGCTATCACACGGTTATCATAAACAGGTTATCATAATTATTTTATTGTGAATATTGTTCTCATACATTATTGCAAACACATGTTATATTTAATAATAGTCAAATATAACTTACTTAACATAAAGAAAGTTATGATATATAATTATCTTTCAAATATATTAATTGTATAGAAATAATTTAACTCAATATAATTTTGACAAACATAACTACAATTAATACATGATTAACAGTTATAATTGATTTGAGAATAAATATTTTACTCTAAATTCCAACCAATAATAAAATTCTTTTTACTACTTTCTAATATTTAATAAAATAATTTTACTAAAAAATTAATTTAGGTTTTAAATAGTTTATCTCCATATCATTGGCACTTATTTCAAATGGGAATAATTATTTAAATATTAATTTAAAGAAAAACTAAAGGTTTTTTGGTTTTTATATTTTCTATTAAATAAAAAATAAAAATGCTCTCAATTTTTGGCTAAAGAAATAAAAGCGATTTGCCTCGAAGTGCATAAAACAAGATTTACACAAAAAGTGCTTTTGATCACCAAATTGTGCGAAAGAATTGAGTGATTAGTTTGGCATTCATTTGGTTAATAGAAAGTTAGTATTACATTGAATGCCAGCAATAGTTGCAAAACGGTGTGAAGAATGCCTCCACTGAACAGTCTTGCGGTCCAATTGCTTACAATTGCGACCATTATATTGAAAATCAATATAAACCACGAGTCTATCGAAACACCGCACGACCAGCTCAGGAGTGCCTATCATTTCATTGTCGTCGGCTCAGGATCTGCAGGCGCTGTAATTGCCAACCGATTGGCAGAGAATCCCAAAGTAAATGTACTGCTTCTGGAGGCAGGAGGGCCTACTAGTGTCCATAACGACATACCAGCCCAGGCATCGACGGGCGCTTTATTCAACTCAGAATATGACTGGAATTATACGCTAACCCCACAAAAGATTGGAATCGCTTACCAAAACCATGTCATCGCAGAGAATAGGGGTCACGTGATCGGCGGCACCTCCTCTTTCAATACTATGATATTCAACAGAGGAAACCGGCGAGACTTTGACAGGTGGGCCAAAGAGTTTGGTGCTCAGGGATGGAGCTATGAAGAGGTTTTGCCTTATTTCATGAAATACGAGAGAAATATGGACCCATTAGTAGCCAACAATGGGTTTCACGGCACGTCTGGTCCCGTAGAAATCACATCGTGGGCATACCCGCCCCCTATGGTACAGTTACATCAAAGGGCTCTAAATGAGCTCAATATCCCCAACACCGATATCAATGGCGCCAATCAATTGGGCACTCAGATCATGCAGGCCATGATTGACAGCAATGGACGCCGAACCAGTACTTCCAACGCATACATTGATCCCAACCCATACCCCCATAACCTACACATCCTTCCCCGAGCATTAGTGACCCAAATTTTATTTGAAGGCAAAACAGCTGTTGGCGTGCAGTTCCTCAGGTATGGCACCGAGTATAAGGTGTTCGCCAAGAATGAGGTGATTGTGAGCGCAGGTAATCAATGAATTAAATGAAACTTTTTAATTGTAATTAAAAATTACTCAAACCTAAGGCGCTATCAATTCTCCGCAACTGTTGATGTTGTCGGGCATCGGACCGAAGGAACACTTGCACCAAATGAACATCCCTTTGGTGGCCGACCTGCCAGTGGGCGACAACTACCAGAACCACGTGGGCGTGTCCGCCAACTTCCTCATCAAAGAGAAATACTATGACTTACTGAGTGTTGCCGGACAGATGAATGTGCCTCAACTGTACGACTACCTGTCCAGTAAGACGGGACCCCTCACCCAACAGTACCGAATGGGGGTCTACTATAACACTAAGAATAACAACGATAAGCAGTACCCCAACACCAACTGGGAAACCGGTCTATACCTCTACCCCACAAACCTGAGTGACGCCCGAGCCTTCCAGCACGAGGTACTTATCATACACTTTGGCTACACTTTCACCCGATTGTGCGCTCAATTCATGTGTATTTGCAGGACAGACACGCGTGGGATGTGTTTAACACTCCATCCTTAGGCAGGTATTACTTCTTCGTGCACCCAATCCTCCAAAGGGTGCGAAGTGTGGGTCGAATCCGTTTGGCGTCAAACAATCCCCTCTACTATCCCCTGATTGACGCCGGATTCTTCACGGATCCCAAGAACCTGGACTTAGAGGACATGATCGAAGTGACCAGAGCTGCCTTCTTCTTCTACGAGCGCTCATCCATCGCCCCATTCCTCGAAGCCGGACAACCCATCCCTGGCTGTCATTTCTGTCCGGACAAGCAATACGTATACCAATGCGAGCCATACATCCGCTGTTTGATTGAGCAGACGGGGTATGCCTCCTACCACCCGGCGGGCACCTGTCGTATGGGTGACCCCCACAGACACGACACTGTCGTCGACCCCCAACTGCGCGTCAAAGGCGTGGAAAGACTGCGTGTTTGCGACGCATCTGTTATACCGTTACTAATGAACGGAAACACAAACGCGGCTTCAATTATGATCGGAGAGAAGTGCGCCGACACTATCAGACACTCCCACACCCTATAGCTTAGCAGTATATCATTGTGACCATCCGTTATTATTACTGTCATTATTAGTATTAATAGTAAGCATTATGCAGACAATAACTTAATGTAGTGTGAAGTTAATAGTGTGAACCCAGACACCCGACACCCTAATATAGTGTACATTGCATTCAATTATATGTAAAGCTATTGATATTTATGAGATTATATCAAATAAAGAGTTCACAAACAACCATGCTAACTATGCCAATTTGGATTCACTGCATATTGATTTTATAGCAATAATTGTCATTCGCTTCAATACTGTAACAGTAAGTGACAGAAAGGCTATTGAAATATAGCGCCAAATAGTGTGCAACAGATGTCTCTCATTCTGAACCACACTTGCATTGAATGCATTCATAAGCCATTGACTGATCTTCACAGACGGTGACTGCCGTGGAGTGAGTGGTCAGTGGACACGACATACACTGAACACTGACACACATTCACACTTCACTCACATCCAGTACAACACTAATACATTCACACCATTCATACCCCCATTCATGACCAATGGCCACACATAGCCCGTGCACCCCTGTCCTCCCCCTCCCCACTACTTAATGCTGTTAATGAGAGTATTAATACTAGACTAGAGACTAATGAAGCTAATGAAGTGCAATGAATGTATGCTTTACTGTCATTAATCATGAATACCGTCTTATTATGTATTCAATGCATTCACTGTGAATGGGATGCAAGGGTTGGTCACCTGTGTGTGCGATAGTATCGATGTGCGCATCGATTCGATAGTCGGTGTTCGAGTGAATGCTCGTAACAGTGAGTGACACGCAAACAATGCACAGCACAGCACACCATAGCATACGACCGACACGAACATTGCAATGCATTAGTGACGCCTTAGCACACAACCAGTGTTGGCAGTGCTGTGAACGTGACGTACGCGTAGTGTTTGGCGAGTGTTTGTGTGCGTGAGGTGTGCGACGATTCAAACACTACTGAATAACTCATATATAGATAGTGTTTAGAGAAGAGTTTGATTGAAAGCATCGCTAAAAGCGATAGACTTTTAAATTGTGTTTATTTGACGTTATGTTGAATGCAGTCATCATTGAAGTGATCGCCAATTGATGACCAATCGAGTCATTCATGGTTTGTATGATTACATGAGACCAACACGAGTATAGCAAACACATGACAATCAGTGCAATCAAGTGATGGTCTCCAAGACGTCTGTTGAAGTGAGAGAGTTGTCATTGAATTGAAGATCAAATCAAACCTTGTTTTGGTCGACATTTTGTGCCAATTATTGGTTTGTTTTGATTGAATGCAAACGACATATCAAATGCAGTCTTCAGAGCCTTCATTGCACTGATTTGACAGACATTTTCATTGGATTCACTCATTCATAGCACAGATGATAGAGATTTGTGTGAATTTAGGGCTCAATTGATGGACACAATAGGGTTAAGACAGACAGACATTGCTTAAGACTATTATGATTATTGTTATCATGTTTTCAATTGACTATTATTTATGAGATTTGTTTGCTTTTTGTTATGGTTTTAGTGATAATCGATGTGAACGTAAATAAGTGTTGTATTGACTGTTGAGGACATCCTTAGCTCACAAACTGGTCTTCAGTTGTCTTTATTGCCAAACAATATATCGATCACTCATTGAATCCAAATGAGACACAAAACACACTCTTTTGGTGATGAATTGGGCGACCGATTGGCGGGCCTTCCGGTGCCGCGAATCGCGGAGAATGGGTACCGATTGCCGGACCCATTGCCTACCGGTTCCATATTAACGGACTCCACTCAAAGACAATGGCTTTTGGGTGAGTCTATCGGTTGCGGAGGTTTTGGCGAAATATATTGCGCTAAAGAGTTGCCCGAAAGCCAGCGATTTGGCCACAACTCGGCCGCAGACAGAGAGCGGACAGACATGTCAAGCGACGTATCGACCGTAAGCGACAACAACTCGTACAACGGTCTCCCGAAACGGAGTTGTGTCCAGAAGTTCAACGAAAGGCAAACGGAACGCAAGAACAAAGAGAAGTTGAATAAACTGCTGAAGGACTCGAACTATCCGTTTGTGGTGAAAGTGGACCACATATCGGGTCCACTGTTCGCCGAAATGCATTTCTACCACCGAGTGGCCAAACCCAAGCTCATCGACAACTGGATGTTGACGCAGAGACTGGCGTTCATAGGAATGCCTCGCTATGTGGCCTCAGGCATCTTCATCGCCAACAACACGTGTCGACGCTATCGGTTCCTCGTGTTGGACCGCTTGGGCATCGATTTGCAGAAGATTCTCAATAAACAGAACAATCGGTTGAGTCTGAAGAGCGCCTACACTATAACAATGATGACAATCGACATCCTGGCCTACATTCACTCGTTTGGTTACATTCACGCAGACATCAAGGCATCCAATCTTCTCTTAGGTGTGCTTTTCATACCTTTATATCTCTAACTGCGAATTGCTATGAAATGCTTACACCTATAACTGCAATGTTTGTCTACTTTTTAGGCCGATTAGAGACGACATCACCGGCTCGTGAGCTGTATCTCGTGGACTACGGTCTGGTAGAGCGCTATCGGACTCAAGATGGCGAACATAAAGAGGAGGAGGAGGACAACCGACGGGCCAATAGCGGTACCATTGAGTTCACATCCCGTGATGGACACGTGGGCGCTCTGACCCGTAGATCTGATTTGGAGATATTGGCGTTCAATACGATCTCATGGCTGTCGGGCGCAAGACTTCCGTGGATTGATTGCAAAGATCACGAAATCGTTCGGAAACAGAAGGAGTATTACATGAGTCATATGGACGAACTGCTCAAACATGCCTTCCACTCGAAGAGTTTGGTTCCCAAAGGACTCGAAGAGTTCGTGCGATCCATATCTAGACTGGGCTTCAAAGAAGACCCCGATTACAGCGCTCTCAAACTCATCCTAACCCGAGCTATAGTCAGCTCCGGATCTACTAATGACGGTCTCATCACATGGGGTGAGAAGACAGTCACTAAAACTAAAACTGTTAAAAAAGGTTAGAAATCTCACTCTGAAGTTGTCTTCAATGACATGCAACTCATGAATGGTTTACTTTGTGAGCACAGGTAGCAAAAGAGCCATCAGTTCCAGTGTAGAGTTGGGCAGAGGAAAGGCTCACAGGGGAGAGAAACAGGAGTTCGAACAGTTCGAGTTGTGTGACATCCCTCGCAAAATGGACAGACATAGGGCTGTCCGCAGCGCTCCCACAACACTGTCTCGCCAGAGGTCGGCATCCATTACACCGACCAACACATCACTGATGGATCTCTCGAACCCAACGCCACAAATGCTGGAAGTGATGGAAAGAATGCGCCAGAAGTCGGAGACCACTGACAGGGATGTGGTTTCCATTGATTCGAGTCATTGTAATAATCACTTAATCCATAAAAAGCGAATCCGAAGCAACACTTCGACCAAAAAGGGATCGAAAGCTCGTAAAATGAAACTCAATTCGACTTTAATTACTAATAAATCTTCGAATAATAAGAAATTGAAGACTAATTTGAATTATTTAATGAAACAAATCAGCAGTACTTATGATAATAACGATGACTTAAAATCCATTTCTAATAATGTTTTGTCGAAAAATAAGAAAAGAAAATCTAAAAAGTGTTCATTAATTAAGAGAAAATGTTTGACAAATAGAGAACGAATACCACTCCAGAAGCTGGAGATCAATGTGAAGACAACGAACACATCGAAGAGGTGTTCCAACCGAACCATTGACACTAATGTTAACAAAAAAGCTCTGAAAGCGGTTTTAAAGCGTAAATCACAACAACAACACCACAAGAAGATTAATAAGACATTAATTACTCGAAGCAAAACAAAGACTATTTTGTCGGCAAAGAAGTTAATTAAGAGATCAACCATTCATTCGGCGAAACAAAACCGAACAAAAGTGGCTCTTGTGGTGGATTTGGCGAACGGTTCGTTCAAATGTGATAAACACTCGAGAAATAACACTAATGGCAACAAAAAGATGAAGTGATTTCCCAATCGACCCCTTCTTGCAAACATTGTTGCCATCAGTTATCCTTTTCTCTCACTTCTTCTCAAAAGTATTGTTTTTGTCAATTATTCACACATTTATTACAATTATTTACATTTCTCTTCAAATCTCATTTCATTTGAAATTATTTTGATTTATTTAAAGTGTATTTCGTTTCTCTTGAATTGCTTTCAATTCAAACCCTTTTCGCTATTTAAGACTTAATTTATTGTTTTTTACGGTTTCATTAAATTTACTTTCATGTGTTCAATGTTTTATTATTTCTATATTCTATACCGACTTGTCTTACTGTATGTTATATAATATAATAGTTATCTCTTTTCATGTCATTTGAAAACAAAACAATTCTTCAGAAATCCATTATTTGCTTCATTTGTTTAAACATTTCATTTGCAAATTCATTTATAGTATAAATTTCTTACATTTTAAAGTGTATAAAATGCCACGAATTATGTCTATAATTATAGATGAGATGAGCATTGATTTGCATTTTAATTGAATTGAAACGATTGGCGACTATTTAAATGTATGATTTATTTTGGGTTAAATCGCAAATGTTTTCTTAATTTGAATGTAAAAATAGATCCGAATTATCGGTAATTCAAATACTAGTCATTCATTATATTTATGGGTTTCTTGAATGAGTGATACTTTATATTATTGACTAAATATCTGCCAAAAGATTGCTTTTGCGATTAATTCACGTAAATGTTGTGTTCAAATGAATGAAATCAAAAGTTGTGATTAAATTCAAAATGAAGTGCTTTTGAGAGAGAAGTTGTTTTCCACCGATAATAAGAATATAATAATAAATGAATACGAAATGCCTTCTGATTGACGACAAATAAAGTAAAGATTTGTTTACATAATTATACAAACAATCTATGAATTGAAAGCAATGACACACTATATTCATATTAAAATCATTTATTAATAATTAGTTCAATTGAGACCAAAATGTTTGTTTATATCAATTAATATTTACTATATAACTAATACTAAGACTTTAATTATGATTTGAGGCAATTCTACTTCAATAAACTTGTTTTACTAACATTTCATAATATATTTACTGATTATCTGAATTTAATTTTCTCAATAAAATAATTTGTTTTAATTTCAATTTCATTTATTTATTATAAATACAACTATTTGTACTTTTATTTTAGAACAAAATTTATATTTCAAAATTAAATTAAATTATAGATTTATTAAATAATAAATTCACAAAAAATATTTGTAAAAATCATTTTTATGTGTTTTCATTAATAAAATTTTTAAACAAAATTATGTGTAATACGTGTCAAAACTAATCTAAG